ATGTCTTATGTGAATGATATACTAACAAAATGTCCCAAACAAATAACAAGTCGCCAACTGATGGTAAACAATTTTGTCCCATTTACACCTTAAGTTCAAATAATCTGCCACTGATTTAAGCTTAAATGTTTAGTGTCTATAGAAACCAAGCTTAAGGTGTTTCATTATGATGATGCAACGTATGTACATACACACGTATATTGTATTGAAATCTCTATTAAAAATAGTCATGACATCCAAGTAACACGTGTATACTGAAGCAGGTATATTATTAAGATAATGTCTTTAAATACATTTGACATTTACGGATTAACGACAAAAATCAACAACTTGATATAGCTATCGTAATTAGGGGAAAATGTATTTCTATCAAAGCGTTGTTTCTTTGTATGTGTATGCCATTGTTTACCTTCCGACTACGGCCTTTAAAGACCACGGCAAAAGCCCCATGACCGATTAGATCCTTCTTGTTGTACTCGAATTCTCCAATGATCTCCATCCTCGGCCTATGATAATTGTTTCGTGAAGCAATCTTGATCTCGAGGTCGGCCAGCTCCTGCTGTAACCACGAGAGATTCAGAGGCCATTTTGATGGCCGAGGATGGCAGTCTGCACATTAGACTGCAATTTTGGTCTCATCATGTATTAATATAAACGCATCAATGAAACAGTATAGTTCAACGTCATTTTCTTTTACCTCCTTTCAAGCATTATCGGTATAAAAATAGTCAATTTCAGTGATATTCCATATGTATCCACTTGCTTTAACGTTTTGACAGGTCAACGATAGAACACCACCTGATTATGTTTTGGTTTGGGCCAATGAGCAACCGTCTCCTACCGCCGTTCGTATTAACATAAATAATCCAGATTTTATACGAAACCATCAACACGAATGAAACACACCAATATATTCAAGCATATAGATAATATATGTCATGATATTTTGAAATTCGGTATTTATTTAAGTAAAAAGAACATAAGCAAACAAGGATATTATTATTTCATATCGAAAGTGGGTCGATTTCATCATGCGTATTGATATTTTTTCGAGGTGCCCCTGAAAGTAGTGCATTTTTCAAGATCTCGTCATATCTCGTTGTCTACGTGACCTTGAAACACTGAAGAGATACGGTACTGAAACAGCAAGAAGCACGTGTGTTTATGAAGATTCGTTGAAAACACTGCGATTTATTGATTTGACATTCATTACGAAATACAAACATTAATGCAACATTCGACAGCAAATTATAAAGGTACTGTTTGAAAGGTTACTAAGGCTAATTGATGCACGTAGTAATTGTTCGGAACCATTTCTGTCGCGTTGCGCGCTTCAAAATGGTAAACATGCCGTTTTGTCGAGGTCGCAGGAACGCGTGGGCGAAAGAGACAGAATTTATTATTGCTGCTGGCTAATAAGCCTTATTGTTCCGGCATGTTTAAGAAAATAAGACTGAAAATGAATTCTCGATGTTCTTCAAATTTTGCATGACGCATTCTCGTAATCGAGCATGTTTCGTCTTGGAGTAAATTTGTTCTTGAATAATACGCACGCATGTGGTGCTGTAGGTTAGCTAGTGCCGACTTGTCCAAGACTGTCTTCATAACGGCACTTGCCGCTTTTAGATGACATGTCAATAGACAAATATTTCACCGTAACCATTTAATTTCACTCACATCCCAACAATGTTAATATGCCAGGTAAATAACTAATTATGTGTATCAGTGAGGAGTACTCTAACTACACGGCGAGATACTTTTGACAGCCGTGTAACCTCTAACTGCCCATAACTGATTTTCCCGATGCTGACAATCACATTTTTTTAAGTTCGGATTTAAAAAAATATATCGTGTTTATATCGTTTTCAATGTTCAACAGGGTCCAATAAATATTCCTTTCCATAAATCCATGATTAAATGAGAAGAATTTCGTGTCAAAGACATGAATAATGTGTTTTTCCTCTTTTGAGAGAAGTGCTTCAACGACATGGACATACAATTTGAGTGTTCTATTCCGTAATATACTCTATATATGTGTCTGTGGTAAACATATGGGATCTATATTACATGAACCTTGAGTAGACATCGTTGTCATGAACTGTTAACCGCTTAAAGTGAGTTTTTCAAGCCGATTCTGCATCAAAGAATTTGTGCTTCAGAAATAAGAGGTTGCAGTCCGCAAAACCATAGCCTATAGAAAAAGGCCTACCAGCTGCCTCTTATGTTATTAGGAGTACAGTGAAGAGAGGGTCTGAGTTACCAACGCACATTATCACCTCCACACGACGAGACACATCTTCACTCAGTCAAAGTCATGTTGCTTTGGGTTCTAAGTAACTTTTTTCAAGGATTTGTGTTATAGTGGAGATATTGACTGTTCATCTTTCACTGTAGTATATAACAATGTGGTAATGGGTTTTTTAGCCTTTTGTAAATTCTTGATGATATTTTTATTTTATTTTATTTTCAAAGTATTTTTCACATTACAATAACATTTACATTTCATTAGACATAATGAATTCCACTTTCACACATACTTTCGTACTAATTAATATTGCTCTTTTTTAAGTGGTATTTAATTTTTTTGTAATGTTATATAAGAAAGGAAGGGAAATCAGATAAGAGAAACAAGAAAACATAGTGGAAATAAAGACAGGTAAATGGACAGAAAGACAGACAGACGGAAAGATAGGCAGACAAGAGGAGAAGTACCAGTATTAAACAAACCAATGTAAAGGATACTGATGATAACATATTCATAAGTGATTTCCTTGAATAAGAAATTATTATGCATGCAAGGACACATTTATTATTTATAATAAATCATTGATGATATTATTTATTATTAATAATAAATGTGTCCTTGCAATCATAATAATTTCTTATTCAAGGAAATCACTTATGAAACATCATTACTCGGGTCTGGGATGTAGTATATATTTTATAGACCAAGACTCTGTGGGCTTGTTTGTTCTATGGGAAACAACGGGTTTGTCCATCTTGAAATGTAACATGTTCTGGTATAACGAAATCCTGTCGAACATGCAAATGTTAATGCAGGCCTTGCAAGGCTTTGTCAAGGCTCGCCTGAAAGCAGCATCATATTACTACTGATACAACCTTATTTAATAAATGAACAATGTTGGTTTAACCATTTAAACGAAAACGGTCCAGGTAGTCTGAAATAGATATATGGTAAACCTCCGGTCAGATTGAACAAAATTAAATATATATTTTTCAATCCTGTTTAAATTACACAAAATTATAGCCGCTAAAATAAAGGGTAGTTGAACTATCCGAGTGACATCAGCAAATATCATGGCAAACGGTCAAGTCGTTGATACGGAGCAACGACTGGCTATTAGGATATATTTGCAAATCTGGAGATGAATAATAGTATATGTCTTTCTTATATTTACTTACACAATCAATATTCGATTATCAAGTTCATTTTCCATTTAATCGCAAGCAGAAACAAGTAGATGTTTTCTGAAGGATTCCGTCTTTACGTATTGCAGTTATCTTCTCTTGTGAGCAGGTATTGATTGTTACGGAATTGTAGGAAGGTCGATTGTAATGTATCAGAATGCGGATGGTGGATTGAAACCGTAATTACGGATTAATAGTTCGATCCACCACCTGGTCAAATATTTTTGTTTTTGGCATATGTACAGGTTATATCAATTAAGTAACAAATCGGGGATTGGTGGCCAGGTTGCGATTATATAATGAAATTGTAATCGCAAAAATATCATGACAATACATACGTCTGTCAGCGATACATGGTCGAGGCTTAATTGGCACGTACGCATGTTTACAAGAACAAAACTTGATCATCACAATCATGTGGCATATTTATGTACGAATTGTCTGACATTAATGACACACAATACTAGTCACACTTCATGAGTACTACCCGCATTCACTTCATATTTTCCTGTGTAAAGGAGCAATTTTCCTTGAACAGACGAAAAATTTCAAGCTTTTACTTGTCAAAAAGTTCTTCATAGCAGGGTAGTTGTTGAAAAAGTCTACCATATTGTGACACAATTAGGTTAAGATTTCAAACTAATTCAAAGTGAAACTCGTATACAGAAATGAAAAAAAGTGGTGCCGAAGTTGATCATGATGGCTCAGAATATCAGACTCAACCACATTTTAGTTACATTATCAATCAATTTCTGTCATTATCTTTTAATTCAATTCACTACAATAATAATATTATTATAATTGTAGTGACTTTTAATTTAAATACATGTTTATTGAGAAAGACTCAAAGATTAATAGGAAGTCCACTGCCAGAAGTGTAGACAGTCGGATGACTGCTGCTACTAAAGAGTTCTAGTGAATTATCGCCCAAAGCACTGTAAAATGTTGTAAAACCTCAAGTAAACATCTTGGAAAATGGCTGACCTATCCATCATTGAACATGTGTGGCCCTGAGTATGTCCCTAATTTTAGACTTGACAGGAGCGAAAATCCATGAACAACCAACTGATAATTGTGAAATAATTTCATCAGTGTTCTGAATATTTTTTTACTACCCACACTATTTTTTCAAGTGCTGAATCATTTCAATTTGTTTTCGGTTTGGCATTTATTTTTGTAGTTGTTTTATAAAGATAAACCAGATTTGTTTTTTTCTGTTTCAGATTGTAGATTCATTGTGGATGATTGATGAATAATGGCAAATTTGAAGGTGATTGTCGGGTGCTCTGTGTCATTCTTTGGCTTATTATGGCTGTTCTTCTGGAAGAAATCACCAAAGCAGAAGCCTCCATCTGATTCAAAAGAGAACCATGCTGAAGATACACACAGAAAACTGCCAAGTGTTGGTTCTAAAAACAATCTGCCAGATGTAGTTCACCAGAGTACAGAGTCTGAGTCTCCGGGGATTCAACAAGAAGCTGTTCTGGAAAAGGTGCTATCTAATAAGGAAGTGGTACAGACAGAGAGCTGTATATTGGGCGACAGTTCTGAGGCCCAGGATGCAGACCAAGATCAGGAATGTGTAGAGGAACCGATCATACAGGAGGAGGTCCTGACATCCTCTTCTTGTGCTGTCACACAGTCAGGCAATAAGACATTGGATACTCTGGAGTATGACATGAACTGCAATGGAGACAGTACACGATTTTCAACATCAGAATATAATTCTACACAGATAGCAGGAAGTGATGACAACTTGCACAGAAATTCCGCCATGAATGAGGCATTCATGACATCAGACATTGGGGATGGCATAATGAATAAAACCTGTGAAAAACCAACAGATTCAACCCATGATGTGTCTCTCTCTACCTCAACTTTTGCTGAACCACTGCTAGAATCAACAAAACTAGACATCACAGCCTGTGAAAATGAGCAAAGCATGAAGATAGAATGCTCTGTGCCTTCATTGATAGAAAATAACATTACATACAACAACAAACACATGAATGGTAAACAGGTCCATGATAATGAAAATGACAAGAATGATTCATTCAAAAACTGCAGAATTTTGGAGTCCGACTCGATTGTGAATCAAGTGAACAGTAACCATGATCAGATGACAAGTAGTTGGTCATCTGAGGTGGAGAGTTGTGATAATGTGGACAAACAGACAGACATTGAACTATGTGGGGGAGATAACTCTAATTCAGTACACACAGCAGACTCAGTTGGTCCAACACCATCCAAGACCGACAGTAGTGCTCATGGGTCCGACTCCAACACCTCAAACTGTGATAGTGTAAGTGTCCGTTCTGTGTCTGACACTGATAAATGTCTATTCTTTGTGAAAAGTTAGATGTTTTAGGATCATGGAATTCATTAGAACTAATTACCTTATATATATAAAGGCATTTGTGCTTCTGCTGATTTCACCCACTGTATCTGACACAAGTTGTGCCATATTGTAGGGGGTTGGTTATACAGGGTCAGTGATGAAACTAATTTTCAAAAGGAAATATCTTATTTAGTGCTTTATCTCCCTTTAATTTACATCACGTCTTGTACAAGGTCCTGTTATGACATTCAGTCAAAAACTAGGTCACTGTTGCTATGAATAAAATTTCGATAAAAATTGATCTGCAACATTTTTTTCTTATGCAATTGTCACAAAACCTCACACAAACATCATCTTTTGTGTGAGTTCGCATTTCACAAGTGTAATTGTTTCATCTGTAATGCCTAATAGATTAGTTACGATAGATGTGCAAACTAATAAGTTCGCAATTATTGTTTCTAAAAAAGGTCATCAATTGGTAAATCAGCTGAAGTCACTAACTAAACCATTTTTATGTTTTTTTGAAAAGCTTAAACTATTGCTATATGAATCTTGCACTTTTGCCTATCAAATTTTGATTTATATTTGTTTTGATCGAGCTACCAACATCAAGTTTCCTGTCCCACATCCAACAGAATTAACATGATGTATAAACATTATGGGGGAAAATTAACAATAGCCAACCAGCAGTAAGTATAATAAATGAATTATAATTACAAAGTTAATACATGCATGATATTCAATATTTTGTAGGTTTCAAGTAATTGTAGCAGTCGAGCTTCCAGTATAGTAGAAACTCCAAACAAGTCCGGCAGTTCAAAAAAAGAGACCTACGAATTTAACTTTCCTACACAATTTTGTGGTCGCCTGATTGGTAAACATGGAAAAAATATCCAACTGCTGAAGGAGCGGTCAGGAGCCAACATATCTCTGAGCAATCACCCATACACACCAGACTTCCAGCTCTGTCTTATTGAAGGTTTGTACAGTTAAAACTTGACACGCTTAAAAAGTCATACACTTTGGTGACATACATGTACACTGTCGACTGTGCAAATTCCAACATTTCTTTCTAATGATCAAAAATATTAAGAGGTAGGGTGTTTGACAATTTAGATACATGGAATCTTATCAGAAATAACAAATAAGCAGGATTTGCTGTCATTTTTCTCTCCATATATTTATACTGGTTCTGCTAATATCATATTTTCCAAGACTTAACTTTAAAACGGTTAAAGACATCACCCCAGGAGGTGTGCAGTGTACTTTAATTTAGTGAAATCGAATGAGGCCTTCGACTCGAGATCCAAGTCAAATAGTGCAAAATTTCCGGTGATGAAACTGATGTGTACCACCTAATGAAAGTGTACAATTTGTAGTAATAAGGTAATTGTGGCCTTCATTTCAAGTTCAAAGGTCAAATGGATTAAAAATAATCAATGAAATCTTATCTAGACTTACATTATCAGCCATTGAAGATATTTTGATTAAACTTGAGCAATACCTGTAATGTATCATTCATAGTAAGTATGCAGTGCACTATATTTAGGTCACTGACCTTCACCTAAAGGTTATATAATTATGCAAAACAAATATGCATATACCTGTAGTTCAGTGTTTTCTCCAGAAGGGGGATTTGTACATCACCCCATTAACCCTTCAACCACTGTAGACCATAATGGACTCGTCCAGATCAATGCATGGTAGAGTCTACTTAAGTTACATAGGGGTGAAAGGGTTAAATTAGATTTAAATATTCTGCCTATATCACACTACCCATTGTTTTCAAACTTGGAAAAAACAACTCTCTAGTTCATATCCTGGTATTTAGAAGGTTTCAGTGTGTAGTATTATGGTAGAGTTTGCAGCCTGTACCTGATGTAATGTAAAACAAATGGGATGGTTATTTCAGGTACCCAGAGACATATTGACGAGGCACTGAAAGTGATTGGTAGAAAATTCCCTGATGTGGACCTGACTGCAATCGGGGCAGAAGTAGAGAATGAACCTGAGCCCAGCACTAATGGCAAACCGATGTTGATGCCTGATATAATGCAGGTACTGAGATAACCTTTTGTAGACCGAAGTGTCTGTCATGATCTTAAGTTGATCAATGAAGCTTCAAGAGCCCCCCCCTTAAGTATACAACTACCATGTCTGTGATTTCTGTTTGAAAATATTAAAAAGCAATTTCAGAGGATTGATTGACAGATTGGATACTGATGGACAGTTAGTTTAAGGAAGTTATATCATGTAAACAAAAGTCTTGTTTCCTATTTAATTAATTTTCTTTGAAATAATCATTAATTGTTTTTCAAATGATTTGTAAAGAGATAGAAAATTGGCATTGAAAAGTGAACACATTCTGTGAAGTCTGTATCAGACATCCTATTTGACTCTGAGAAAGTAAATCAAAAGCATTTTCCCCTTGATAATCTAGACAAATAAGAACCTGTCATTCCCATGCAACCCATTTCTACGATGTCATATCAGTAATCCAGAACTGGTAGTTGTTCCCCAGTGTCAGAATGTGAAATGTCAATCAAAGCAAGGCTCTATGTGTCTTTATTAGTCCATAGAATGTCAGCCAGTGTGTTAACTCCTCTTGAGCATTATTTCCCCTTGTTTAGACCTCTTCTGCACGGCTTTACCTCCTTGCATGGCACTTTCTATTTTTACTCTGCAAGTCAAGAGTGTCACTATTGCATGAACCTCATTTTCAGTAGATAGCGGATCAAGAACATGAATGTAGATCCTGTAGTTGTATTAGCTTGCCAAAATTTTAGTTTTCCTGACATGCTGTAAGCATTGTAATATTAGCTTTATTACTCCATCTTTTTCCTTTAAGATAATCCCTGTAAATGTCTTCAGCTATTAAATTGAAAACAATTTAATTTAAAAACCAAGTTAAATTTGTAACTCGGGGGGGGGGGGGGTGTGATTGCTCAACTTGTACAGTAAATTAAATTTGTTCTCCCCCATGGCCAGTTCTTACCACAGTGGGTTGATTAACTTGGTACGTCGGTCTTTCTGATATAAACTCCACTGAAAAGTCCCAATTCTGATAGATGCTGCAAACATTGTTTTTGAATGTAGTATAGTGGCAGATGTAATTTACTGTGATTGAATTTTAGGTATGAATGATTATAATGTTCAATTGTATAGTGCAGATTCGTGCTTCAGGCAAAACTCCATTACTACTCAGGGGTGTAAAAATCCACTTGTTCGACACCAGGGACAACCAGTATTAGCACTCGGGCAAGTGCAAAAAGTTGGCCCACTAGTCGGGGGGGGGGCAAGTGCAATAGACTGGTTTCTTGACAAAAAAAAACCCTTGTGTTTCTCCATTCCCCCCAAGTGGAAGTGAATAAAGAATTAATACTTAGTAGAATTTAGTGGAATACATTCACTATTATTGCTAACAGTTATTAAACAAACAAAAATTCCTGAAAACAACTTTATTCTTCGTTTTGAAGAAAAACTGCTGGTAGAAAACTAGTGGACTTTACATCAATTCAGACAGTTTTTCAGATTTTAAGGCTTATGAATGTAACTGAAACTCCAGCTAAAGTATACAATAGGGATAGATCAAGGACTTGCTTACTTATAGAGTAATTGTAGGGACTGAGGGACATTGTTTTTGCCCGAAAAAAAGCCTCTTTATCAAACAGGTATTTGCATTAGCGTGACTAATAACTGGACAAATTCTGACCCAGATTTCAGGAATTAAAGAACAAGCAAAAAGTTAATAGATTTACATATGTAAATAAAACGAAAATAATTGAATTTGATGTTATAATAATTACTATCGCTGAGAAAAATTAAAACCTGATATATTTCATGAAAAGTCATTTTCTTTAGAAAAATTCATTCTTATGTGGCAAGTAAAAATTGTGTTCCGGCAAGCAGATTTCTAATGTCTACTTGCCTGGGGCAAGTGCTTTTAATTTTTAGCTCACCAGGANAACCTAATATATTTCATGAAAAGTCATTTTCTTGAGAAAAATTCATTCTTATGTGGCAAGTAAAAATTGTGTTCCGGCAAGCAGATTTCTAATGTCTACTTGCCTGGGGCAAGTGCTTTTATGTTTTTTTTACACCCCTGAGTACTGGAGAAAAGCACTTAAAAGATTGTAGTGTAGTCAGTAGAAAGTATAATGAGGCAAAAGTAATTTGTAGATTTTAATTTGTGCATGCTTTTATAATAGCTTCCTATAGTATTTGTAGTCCTTTTGTATTACTTATGATAAACAGTAGTATATTCTGTAGTATTATATCTAGTGTAGTTAGCAATAGAATAGTATGTAGTTCACATGTACGACTCATTGACCTGTAATATGCAGTAAATCATTGGTAGTATATGATTTGTGTATTATTACATGTAATAATCAATAGAATATTTTTGTTGTCTTGTGTCTATTACCTACAATATATCTAAGTTAAGATAATTGTGTACTGTATGCTGTAGTATCTAGATTTCTCACACAGATGTTGTGTGTGCTAGATGATCACCAGAGGCTTGTTAAAAAAACATTTGGGGGAGGGTTTCCTCATTTATTATACTATATTTGATTTTTCACCTTAGTGGGAAAAAATTAAGAATAGATTTTGTATTGCAGTTACTCTATTAGACAAGATACATAACCTTAACCTAGTATCAAATTCTAGATTTTTTCTGTTGAAACTGCATGCAGGAAATATGGCGGTATGAAAATTATGCACCAACTATTCACGTTGCACATACAATGTAATGTTCTTAAAATGCTCACATATTTCTTGCTTTCAGTTTCACTTGACCTTTAATTCTCATTAAAAAATTGAAATAAATCAGTTCTGGATCAAGTTTTTCTCAAAGTTGGTTTTTGCCAAAATGTAATCTACATTTTTTATTTCAATGATGCAAATTAAATTTGGGGAAAAAAACACCATTGCATCTGTTCATCTAAAACATATTTTTTCCTGTGATCATATTTATGTTAAAATACATAGTTTCCTGTTGTACAGAATATTCAGTAAAAAAGTTTTATTTAGCCTGAAAATATATCTTGTTGTGAAGAGACTGAACAAAATTTAAAGTACAGTGGCAAAAACTAAGTTTCAGGAAGCTTTTCGGCTCAAAATAAGAATATCTGTGTTTCATGTACCCTATATTGTCCCAGGCTACCCTACAAGATTTGATAAAGATTTTCAACAGGCACTGTTGACTAGTCAAAAGCTCCATCGGATTACAAAAAATAACTGGAATTTTTATCAGCAACCTTCCCTTTTTCAAAGCTGTAGCAGGAAACACAGATATTTTTAATTTGGCCATAGTCAGAACTTGGGTAGGAATCTGGGTCTTTAGCATGAGGTTAAGTCATCACTGTCATTTCTGTACATTACCTTCTGTCTTCTGACTACTAACACTAATCAAAGCTTCACCTGCTATGATGCCTCAAAGCAGATGTACCACTCCAGCCTCCGTAACTGACTTTTGTTGTGGATATGCCGACAATGGGATCAAATTCTAGCAGAAGAGATAAAGTATGTAACATGTACCATTTGCCAAGATAAAGAATTGAAATGGCTCTTCATGTTTGAGAGGAATATTGATGGTAGGTTTCTGAAATAAGTAATAAAAAAGAAACTGAAAAATGGCCCTTAATGTGATTTATACTTGATAATCACCATTGCCTTTTTGTTGTATTGTAATGCGACAAGTATTTCAGTAATGTAGAAACAAATAAAAAGGTTTAAGACACCAAATTATATTTCTACTTCTTGAAGTTAGATTTCTTGAAAAAAATTGAATAATTATTTCTAATCCTTCAACAATACATTTGCTGTTTGATATAAACATTCTCAGTAGATTTGCATGGATGTGAGAAAAAGGTTGGACACACCAACAGCCTTAGCATTTTGAATACTAATCCAAACCAAACATTTTGTGTAGAACTACATTAGATTTTGGCTAATAATCCTCATTGGCAGAGGTGATAAACAAAAACAAAAAAAATCTGCTTATTCTGTTTGACGACAACATGTCCACAATCAAGTCAGTTATGGAGTCTGTAGCAAATTGCCACAAGCAGGCGGTGAAGGTCTGAAGATGACATGCTGTGGACTTACAGGGCTTGTACTGCATTTTTGACATTTTTTACTGAAAAGAAAACAGGTGTGCGTCTCCTTTCAGCTCAACCTGCCCGAGGGCGTGTCCATTGACGTGGTGGTGTCCAGCATCGTAGACGCGGGGCATGTGTTTGTCCAACAGCACACCCATCCTTCCTTCCCCTCCCTGGAGCGACTCAACCAGTTCATGATTGCCTGTTACACACAGGACAGCATTGTACCACAGCTTCCTCGGCCTCTGGAGGGTAAGTCAGGCATTATTACACTATCACTAGCCACTAAATACAGATAACAACTTTTGTGTAAGGTCTCTATTTGATCTACACTCTAATTTCAAAAGTTTGGTTGGGTCAGATTCAGATTGCTAGATTGGGTTTACTTCTTAGGTCAATGGTCAGGTCACATTTATAATCTTGAATTTCAGTTGTTCAATCCTACTCAGACCTACATTATTTCCTTCCTTCGTCAAATTACTTGTTTTTGGTGGAACAGGAGAAAGCTTCAATATCAAAAAACACAACCTATATGTTTCTTAGTGTTATACTCCATCTCTTGGGCTAATCACAATCTTAGAATTTTAGGATATGCAAACAACAGAAAAGTGGTCTACCGTATGTGTTTTGGTTTTTTATACCTACTGAAATTCTTAGTAGACCAGACCTTGATCATTTGAATGAAGTAGCAGTTGTTTACACTGACTCGTCTCTCACGTAGTTGGGGTTGTATGTTCTGCTCCGATGCTGAATGGATGGTACCGTGCCCAGATTACTGCTGTGTATGATGATACAGATGAATGTGATATCAAATACGTTGATTACGGAGGATTCTCGCGTGTCCCAGGCTGCACACTCCGACAAATCAGGTAAATTATGATATAAGCATTGAGAGGAGACTTCGTTTAAGATTCACCAGTCTTTCTGACATCTAATGGTGATATCAATTTTTTTCATGGTGAAAGAAGAGAATACTGCATACCTCCCGGGAAACTTTTGCCCAGTAAAATATTCGCCCCTTGTGTATAAAATCAATGTTCACTAAGTGTTAAGTTAGCTCTTCACGTGTAACTACTATATATTGTATGTTGTGTACTCATATCCACTATGATGATATATTTCCCCTCTTTGGAAAGGGTGAAAAAAGCGAAAGGAAAACCGATGAAATTCCCGGTATACAGTGTATTGATTAAGGTTTGTAAGTTACTGCGTTTTAAGGAAGATGTTTACTAATATACAAATTGATCAACCAACAGTAGGATGCCATTGTTCAGGTTAAGTTCACAGATAGACATAAACTTTGCATTTCAAAGAGGCGTTTTTCAAAATCCAAGGGTTGTTACGCTCTTGCAGAGTAGATAGCGCGATATTAAGAGTGGGATCCTTGGATTTTGAAGATGTTCATGAGGCGTATGGCTTTTTTAGTCCACTGTGGCTATTCAAATTGCCCTTCGTCTGTGGTCTGTCATTGCATCCCATTTTCCCGTCCTTACTTCACCAATTCTTGTTAACGCCATTTCTGGATTAGTACTGGAGGGATCTATCTAAAATTTCATATGAAGGTTCCCAATGATCAAATTTTGGGTCTTATTAATTTTCAATAACTGCAGCATAAAATCGACCAATCCGGGGGGCTAGATGAGTTATACACCCTAAAATTATTTCTATAATTTTGATTTGTACAATCTGAGTGCTATGATTGAGTTGTGTGTCGGGGAAGAATAAATATAATGCAATAACAAGTGTTGATCATGGAACCTGTTGTAGGAGTGACTTCATGACTTTGCCTTTCCAAGCTGTGGAATGCTACATGGCCAACATCACACCTATTCAAGGTATGCTGTCCCTACGTTATTTGTTTGTAGCGGAGGGTATATGTATATATATAGTAATATCACAAAATGTGTGTCTGGTGTGATGCAAACTATACTCTTTGGCCCCTGGAAAGTTTTTGTCTTGCTTGTAATTTGCAATTAAAAGACTGTCATGAACAGGTATGAAAGTTAATTGTGAGTGGTGTAAGGCTTTAAGCCTATAACAGTGGAAAGTGAGGTGTATGGAGTTCTAGATCCTGTGGCTTAACAGATGTACTTGGAGGCATGTATTGCATTGTTTTACCCTCCAATTTTAGACAAAATAATTAATGCAGGTGTGCAATGGTTTGGTTGGACAGATTGATTAGTGTAGATGTGGAATGCTACTCCACTTCCCTTTACCCTTTCACCCCTATGTCACTTCAGTAGAATCTACCATGCATTGATATGGATGAGTCCATTATGGTCTACAGTGGTGAAAGGGTTGAAGATGTTTCAGGAAAATGATGTATTCTTATATCTGAATTCAAGATGACTTCATTCAGTTCTAAGACAACTGTTTTATGTCAATAGATGAGGAATACTTCAGCTCAGAAGCTGCTGCAACACTAGAAGAGCTCACACAAGGGAAGTTACTCCAAGCCCAGATTGTCGGTCGCAATGAGGACGGAACTCCTTATATCCATATCTATCAAATAGCAGGAGAGAAGGTTTGTTTTCTTCAGGAATTGTTAACATTTATTTGTAGATATAGGTGGGACCAAAAACAAACCCGACTTAACTTAGTTTTTACTTCCAACCCTAACAATTTTATCTCGCTCAAATGCACTTATGTGTCTTATTTGAACATGCTTGAAATCATAAGCATCTTTATAACAGCTCTCTATTTCATAAGCAAGTATTAAAATCAAATTAAATCCCTTTTTATAATTCAAAATACCTAAAATTGATGAAATGTGGATACAAATGGTCTGAAAAACTGTGTTTTGTGATTTTTGGTATTTCTTAGAACAGCCCCTTCAAAATAAAAAGATAAAGTCTAGCTAGAATATGCTTGACAAAGAGACCAGTCGGCCTTGATATGTTGCAACACATTTGATGCATGGATACACATATATTTCCAAAGGGGTGAATCTTATTTTTAAAAATGTTTAAATGACTAAAGAAACAGGTGAGTTGTACAGATCAAATGGGCCTCTTTTTCTGCATTGTATTGATATATTGATATTTTTCCAGGTGGTATTTGTGAATAGAGAATTGGTGAACCGGGGTGTTACTCGCTGGATTGAACTGATGTCATGAGACGTCTCGCACTGATGACAAAATGGATTGACCTTTTCCAGTCAAGAATAGCAGAGGAGAACATCTGGTGTTCCCAAAAGGCAGGACAATATGAAGCCTCTCTCAGCTTCTCAACAGTTCTATAAGTCTGATGTGCGTGAATTCTACATGGCTGTTGTTCTTCAAAATGTCTGCTGATGTTGCGTACCCGTACTTGATGAATTCAGTCCTTTAATAACATCACAAATTGGAATGTAATTTGGGGACTTTTTGTGTAAATGATTACCTTAAAATTTGAGCATGCGTTGTTGCCAGTGCAAAGTAATACAAATACTGAACTACAGTAAGACAGGTTTAGATGTTCCATCAATGAAAAATCGTAAGATAAATGGATATCACTCTGTTGAGTACTGGGCATTAATATCAACCGCTGATATTATTGCTTGCTATACTCAGAAGGATCTTGCATGATTCTTCAATCTTGTAAGTAGTTATTAAGACCATGATCATTTCTAGATCAATTCTCGGCTTGCCACTTCCAGGCTTACCGTTTCTAGCTTTTAATGTAAGTTAGTAAATATTGACAAACTCGAACTAGGTACGCAGACCTAGATATCGATCAACCAGTTGCTTTTGTCAAACTGGAACTAGGTACGCAGACCTAAACGTCAATCAACCAGTTGCCTTTGTCAAACTGGAACTAGGTATGCAGACCTGGACGTCAGTCAACCAGTTGCTTTTGTCAAAATGGAACTAGGTACGCAGACCTGGACGTCAGTCAACCAGTTGCTTTTGTCAAACTGGAACTAGGTACGCAGACCTAAACGTCATTCATCCAGTTGCTTTTGTCAAACTGGAACTAGGAACGCAGACCTGGACGTCAGTCAACCAGTTGCTTTTATCAAACTGGAACTAGGTACGCAGACCTAAACGTCAATCAACCAGTTGCTTGATAAACCATTTCTTCCAGACTGGAAGTGTCATAAACAGGTGACATAGACGTTGGTAATATGTCCGGGTAGAAGAATTTTGTGTCAATCCTAGTTTAATATTACAAATAATTAGAATTAGGAACACTCAGGAATTAGCTGGCACACCAGATGGAAAAAGAGTGACCTTCAACGTCGGGCGGTTTTGGATTGGACAAGCTTCAAAGACTTGTAGGAACCTCCTATGAATGATATTGTCTCTGTAAACCATAGGTTAAAGGTTAAACCATGCTTCCCAAAACTAAGTGCTACACATTCTGCCTTTGATAATAACCTCGGACATTATCTTCATTTCATGTATGTCCCAAATTAGCACTTTTCAACATCACTTACCATGAGAAACAGAATGAGCTTTTATTTTCTATAGTGACTATTAATTGGGTTTTATTTAGTATCATTTCCTATTGTTGTAAAAAAAAAAAATGAAATATTATTTTTGAATTTAGGATAAAATAATAGGTTTTTGCCTCTTGAAAATAGTTACAGAAATTATTATAGTAACTGTTAATGGTAGGGAATACAGGGAAGGGGAAGTTGGGTGGTGGGGCCCTCTATATGCCTCACCCCCTTTCCATCATATCCATATCTAGAAGAACCCTAGGTGAACCTTGTCTGAAATGAATATTTTGAATTAAAAAGGTAGGTTTTTGCAATTTCATAAATCTAGATAAATATAGCACAACATCTCTGGTTCTTAATGTGTTTTTCATGGTTATAACTATAACGCAGTACAGCAACAATCTTAAGACCCCAGCCCCGTTATCTCTTACAATAATGGGCACCTGTTCCAAAAGGAGAGAGACTGTCTCAGCTATGACAATTCAATGTGTCCTACAAGCAACTTTTACAATTAACACAAAACTTCCTAAAGTTTACCTTGAAGGTCCAGACAATGATCATTACATGTTGTGAGAATGCTAATTTAAGAGTGCAGACCAAAAAAGTCACTTGTGTGTTTATGTGGCTTTACATATATATATATATATATATGTTAATAATATTAGCTACCTGGATATTCATCATGCAATATCAATTTTATATCTGCAGAGATAACTATGTGTTGTGTCCACTATCAATGTTCCTAGGTAAGGTATATACTTGTGTTGGCTATAGACAGCCAAAATATATTTTTCAATGGTAAATACTGTTAATTATTTTGTTAACGTTTAATTCCAAATAATCCTAGTTAAGTATTGATTATAGTGCTGTTGCTATATTTACAAGAACAATGTTTATTTTTATTATGTCAACTGTGTTTCACTTAAAATCATGTCAACTGTCTTTCTCGGTCATTCAGAATCAAATATAATGAAAATATTTTCAATTATGTGAACAGAAAATATAAAGCTTATAATGAACAAGTCCCTTGAGATTTAAGTAAACAAAGGGGTTCAATAGATCAAATAACTTTTTTTTAATATTTGCCATCTATACAAAATAAATTAGATAACATTTATATTTTGAAAGTGCATAATATTTAGATTATGATTTTTGTAATGTTACAAGTTATTTCATTGGTCAATCAAAAAAGTGGAGGACTGTAATGCAGTATTGAAATTTACCAGACTTGTATTAAAATGCTGGCCTAACTCTGGTATTAAAATTTAGAGAATTTTAGAAAGTTGGAATATCATGAAATTTTCACTGGTTCCGCAATGCATAGACAAATCAATTGCATTTGTAAACAATGAGTTATTACCTATCACACACACAAAAAACTAAATTTGACCGACCTTTTAGAAATATTAACATGATACTAAAGTATTAAAACTCTATAATTCTTGTCTCGGTTTGAGTCATAAGGACCATCCTCTGGATCTCGATATATATATATAAATATATAAGGTACTTTTGATGTTTGCCATGGCAAATAAACATTACTACATTTGTATGTGAAATGTTGAAGAAATAAAGTAATATACCTGAACATCAAAGAATACTGCCCATTTTCCTGATTTCATCCAAACAGTATTAAATATTATAAAACACATCCTGTTCAAACAATCATGTAATTTATTTAGAAGAATATAAGATCAGTTATGGTAGAATGAAAATACTGTGTAGAACTCAACTTGTCCTTGCTTCTTGTTTATGTTTGTACTCTTCATGTTGATAATGGCTGCCATCCTATTTGTCTGTAAATGTTATTTGGTGTCATTATTACTCGACAAGTGTTTCCCTGTCCATATATTTGGGGCTGAATTTTATCCACTTCCCTTTCAATGAAAAAAAGTGACATCCTTCTTTAAAAATACCAATTTGATAAAGAAATATTTTTTCGCTTCAATTAATAAATTAATGAGAACACAATTTTGATTGCTATTTTCCCTAGAAGATACTTTAAAACAAAACAGACTTCAGAAATCTGTCATTCTTTAAAAAAGAAAAGAAAGTTACGAAGAACGAAATTGTCATTGAATTCTTCACTATGTAGTCATGTTTACCAAATGTGACAATTCCTTCACACAAAAAAAACAGAAAACAGGAAAAAAATCTGAATGTTCAAAAAAGATACTTGACAAACAGTAAAGGATAACATACAATATTTAATGGTAATGAATGGTTTAAACTCTACAAAATAAGTTTCAGGTAAATTTCATTTATCTGTGTGCTTACATTTACTAAAGATCTTTTTTTTTTCATTACTTTAAAGTGATTGTCTTCAATGAAAGGGCTAGTCTGTAAAATTTGGCTCGATTGTGATCTCAAGTACAGTGACCTTGTATTGGCTACTTGCGGCATTAAAATGCACTATTGTATCTTATGTTTTTTTACCTTGTTGTTTTGTGTAGATATATATATATTTAAGTTACATAACCATGATTTGATCTTGATAATTAGATTTTGGATATTTACTGGAACATGTGTTCTATCGATCTGTATTCAGAGTTATCCTTCCTGTTCCATTTGCGCGCTGTTACCATTACATGTCACAGCTTCCGTTCCTTCAAAACCTCCATGTATGTGACAGCAGGTTTTTTCATTTTAGTTTTTTTTATCTCCAAACTTAAGTGATTCATTGGTTTAAGATCAATTGGGTTAGACAAATTTGAGGCAGGATTATTGCAAGATTTTTATTTTGAATTCTAATTAAACAGAAAAGAAAATTTATAAATCTCCTTTGGATGGACATATTTAATTACCAATCTACACTAAAATCTTTAAATGTCTAATACATTACATGTTATAAAACTGTTCTGACAAGTTAATTTTGTGGATTTGAGCCCACTTTTGCCAAAGATCAGATTTTATTTAACATTTCTTCTCCCTTGTTCGATTTAATTTGATTTGTTTGTGTGTAACTGTGTCATTGTTATCAGTTTACTGGTATATAATTCAGTATTCTTCATTGATCGGTATTTATTCCGCTCCACATTGGGTAAATTTCTCAGCTGCCATGGTTACTGTATGAGTTATATTGCTGTATGATATACAGGAGCATACATACCTATCTAGATAAAACAAAGATGTTTCATATATTGTACACTGATAACCAGCTACCATTTTGTGCCCTGCCTTGCCCTTGCAATGACACATGAATGTAAGGGTTACATGGCTTCATTTCATCATTTAATCGACAATATTTCAAAAATTCAGTATTAATTAAGGCTGGCCGAAGTTCATTTTGCAAAATCATACATAACTGGAGGGTTGGGATATGCTTTGTACCATAGGTTTGGTGTTTTTCAGGAATTAACATTGCAGTTTTTTATCACTATATTTTTCATTACAGAGTATTTTGTCTAGTCTTAAGAATTTGTATGCCATTTAAATCTAATACCAGTAGTAGTGTTCTGTCAACTCATTTATTCTACATTAAATCTACTTTAACTGTGTGCAGTGATTAATAAAATCTTCCCCTACCTTGAGGATGTGGGAGAAATCTCCAACCCGTGGGATAATGTTCTCGTCTTGCCCTTGGCTTTACCTGAGGGATGATATTCTTGATTGTCTTACCCAAGGCTTTGCCAAGGGAAAGACATTCGAGAATATCATCCCGAGGGTTGAAGATTTCTCAGTCACACCCTCAAGGTAGGGGATGATTGTTTTTCTCCCATCCTGTTCAACTCACAAATCCGCCGACAAGCAGTGATTGCATGAAATAATCGGCTGATTGCATGTATTTCCAGCAAATCCGGAGTTGTCTTCCATGGTCTGCTACTGTAGACGTGAAGTCATACTATTGTTATGACTTAGATCGCGCCATTTGACACAAGGCTATCTCCCCCTAGGTAAGGGGGTGAAAAGCTTATCTTTTTAAGCTTGAAAGGGAGACACCTGTGAAGGGTGGGAGAGATGTATTTGAAACGATTAACAAACACAAAACCATAAATTACATTTTCACATTATCTGTTAACCTGAAGAAAAAAAACATAATTCTTCAATTAATGAAAACCTGAAACACAAATAGGAACTTAGGCGAAAACTTATGAGTGATTTCAAACTTGGACACCTGTTTACATTGCTGTATTCTGTAATTAAAATATAAACTTTATTTTACAACTGTTATGAAACAAGTTATTTCAACTTATATCAATCACTGGTGTTGGCCCCGATGTTGCCACATAGGTTTTTAATGTGAAAGAAAAGCTTCATACCTGGAGAAATCCCACGTGATCGGCAGGGAACCCTATACCTTTTCACATCTGATTGGGAGTCGAACCCCAGTTGCCTTGGTGAGCAGCAAGTGCACCCAACCATCAATAATATAATAAGTGATATATCCTAACACAATATCAGTTCAACACGGAATCTCCACATCATGTTCAGTCACAGTTACCGTCTGAATGCTAGAATTAGTGTTGATGGATAGGATACATGTGAAATGTATACAAAGTTGTCAATATGGAACTGTTTAATAAGCTACTGTTAAAAGTCTTTTAAGTTATCATATTTTTAATGACAGATATGCTGTATGATCAAAAACTATAAGGTACCATATATTTAATATCATTTTACATCAATGAAAAAAATCATAAGAAATATATTTATTCATTTTTATTCAGAGATCGATTTTCGGAGCATGAACATCGTTTTTTTCCGGTTTTTTTGGGTGCACAAAATATTCAAGTAGAAGCTTTTTCCAGATTTTCAGCCTCAAAAAGTACCTGCGCAAATTACACAGGTGCACATTACATGGGGTTTTACGGTATAAGAAATGGCACTTGCAGTCTTAAACTTACTTAGTAACTTGTAAAACATCGTGCTAACACCAAGGTGAAGGAAAGTGTTGAACACAAGGTACCCATATATTTTTTTTAAGAGTTTTAAGACAATTTGAATGAATTTTAAGTCTAGAGAGGGGGGAGGGACTTTCAATCAATGTTCAACCGAGATTCAGTTCGTTTTACCTTTAACATGTAATATAATGGTTTAAACTCGTGTAATCTATATCATGATATAGTGACAGAAGCACAGGGTAATTATGGCTGAAATATTACAGGGCAAACAGTGGTTTAGTGATTTACTGTATGATAGTGCTGTTTAAAACTGTTATTCTTTGTATTTCATAATGTCTTTCATTTATGTTGCTTCCTCAAATTCTTTCAATTGTTAATTATGATGGATTTTGAATTGTATGCACATTTTTTGTTTTTGAGCTTTTCTACTCTGATGAATGTACAGTATACAAGGATGACTTGTATATTAGGTATACAGATACAGGGTTTCTTGAGCGTGTTTTTTGTACTTTATAGGGAATGCCATAGGACACTGATAACAAGCCTGAACTGTAGATGAGTAGCCTGTTAGTTGATGAGAGATTTTCTCTGTAAATTATGATGTCCCTTAGTCATTGCTACTGTATCATGGGAAGTTTTGCTGCAGCTTAAGTTCCGCCTGCTGTAATGAGGGCGAACATTAGTAAACAACATCACATGCGTAGTAATCAAATGTATAGGACAAAATTAATACTGGGCAAATTCAGATTAAAATCTGCCATAGGGCGAAAGTTTAACAGGGTATGCAGTGTTTCCCTAAATATTTTTTATTCAGCCATATGTGTCTCAAATAGTCAAATACTGCTTTGTACTTGGAACAGATAATTGGGTTCCAATCTACATATCCTTTTTGTTTGCCATACAAAACCTAAATACAGGTACTTGAGTATTTCAAACCCTCCAAACAATCTGGGCCAGAGAACCTCTCTAGAAAAAAGGATTATAATGAAGTCTGGCTAGTGGTGCATTTAGTTTCATATGCTTGTGTGAGTGAGTTTTCTGAATAAATGCTTTGTAGTTATGACAGTGTTGGAGGCTACGTTTGTTGTGTATACATCTACTACCAGATATAACACACCCCAATACTGTAAAAGGGCACATTTCCACCAAATCAAGTCCAGAGAGAGAAAAACTGAAATATTGACTTACAACATTGATATAGTCGCAACATGAATGTTTATGCTAAATGCCAAGCTTTTAAGTATCTATAATCACAGGTATCATGGACTGATGTTTTAATTAACAAAATTCTCAAAAAACATGTTACCTTGAACAATAGTTCAAAATGAACTGATTTGGGGATTCTTGGCTACGCATTTTCTGTCAAAGATGTACATCAATGTACACTGCCTATAAGCCAATGATAATGTGATGATTGCATGTGGATGTGTGATTGGAAGTATTTTTTTCCCTCAAAACCTTATATATTTATGTGTTTGTGTGCTGTTGCATAGGAGGGTTACCTTTTTGAAGGGTCAAATATTGTTGTAGATTTTCTATTTCACAAGGTATTTTTTTATATATCGGTTTTTGCGAAAAAGCTTGCATTTCTGTCACCGCTGACAGATTTCTGTCTGGAAATGAATATTTAAATATGACTAACAGGAAGTCCCACTCTTTCTTATGTTTTATGGTCTTTTTATAGAAGTGATAAAATACTAAACATTTCCCCCAGTGTGAAATACGAACATCTCTCCGATACAGTTAATTCATCAACGAAGCAAATTAATGTTTTAGTCCGATTTAAATTATATATTTTTTAACCACATAACATGGATCTCTAATGGTGGTCTTTACAAGGTAGAGTTCTTGAAAGCTGAAATTTTATTTTTGATCTGTTTTTTCAGTGGCATACTAGTTAGTATATACCGCAAACATAAAATAATTATCGGTAGTCTTATTTAAGCACCTTCCACGCTTTAAATTTTGCACTAATTTATGATTGCGCCCATTGAAGTTCCTGTATTGCAGTTTTGGCGGGGGCACCAGATCATCAATGTTCCAATCTGTTTAAATTTGATAATGTGCTAAAAATTTGTGTGCGCTAAAATAAGTACACTTACAGTAAGTATAGAATCATTCAATGAACAAATTACAACAGAAACAACACGTTGTGATTGACTGATCAACATTTTCTTCAGGTTGGTAAGTATGGATTGTAAAAAAAATCATGTAGCACAACCAATACATGATTGGTTGTGCTACATGAATCTTTTCACAATCTGTTACTTTTAAGTTTCATTTGGATTCTCCCACATGTGATCCACTTTTAGATTTGTTAATTGTCTTTCTATTGTACTCGATATACAAAGGCATAGATCAGAACATGTGTGGCTTAAGATCAGGGCCCTGTTGTTTAAAAGGTGATTAGTTTAATCAGTAATTAGTGCAAAATTTATATAACAATCAAATGAGTTAAACCTTAGAGATAGCAAATATTTTAGTGAAGTTAAGTTACATGCAAAATTACAAGATTTTACCTAGTATATTGACCAAATTATTTGAGGTTGAAAAATTACGTTAAGCAGTGATTAAGCTAACAGCCTTTTGTGAACAACTGGGCCCTGACTGGTAACATGCACCTGACATGTGATGTGTCTCCGATACACCTATCTGTTACCCCTGTAGAGTTGCTACTTGTTCGTGTTTTGTGTCTCAGGAAAACAAATGTTGTCAAAATAGCAGGCCATACTCATAAAACCTAGAGAAAGTAGTGCTGTGAAAAGCCAGAGAGGACCTTTTTAATATATATTTTTTCAGAACCGCGGATGTACATAGAACAGAATCATTTACTTTGTATGTCTTTGGGTTCTTTATATCACTGTCATGTTAATAGTGTAGAGATTGAAAAAATCTCAGTTTTAATAAATTTTGTTTGAATGTCTCTTAAAAACTGAGTTGTTTTTCTTTCTGTATTTTAACTGCTAACTTGTATACTTAGATGTGGTTGACAAATGTTTACTCTGGGAGCACAGGGACCTGATAATTTGTTACAGCTATATTTGGACCTAAACCAAGGTGTTCAGAGTAATGTTATATGTTTAAGGGGTTTAGATCAACTTTCAGTAAAAATGACATATATATGAGCAATTTTACTGAAAGTTGATCTAAACACCCAAATCATGTAAAATTACTCTGAACACCTTAGTTTAGGTCCAAATATAGACGTAACAAAATTTTAGGTCTCTGTGCTTGGGACATGTTCTGATGTGACTTATGCAGTTTACAGCAGCTAAGCAGATGGTTGGCGTGCACTGTTCAAATTGTCCTGTCCCCCATACTTAAACAATTCTTCTTAATTATTGCTGAAGAATTTTTAGGTCACCTGAGCTTTAGCTCGTCGTCGTCCGTTAACATTTTACATTTTCAACATTAGCTGAAATACTGGCAAAGGGATTTCATTAATATTTCTTGGGAAGGTTACTGACATCTCCCTGACCAAATGTTGTTATTTTTCGGGTCGATCAGAAATCTGATATGGCCGCCATTTTGAAAAACTATTTCAAACTTTAGGTCAAGTCAAGTTCTACTGGGCCGATTGAACTGAAACTTAATAGGAATGATATCGACTCATGGTCCTGACAAAGTGTTGATATTTTTCGGGTCGATCAGAAATCCAATATGGCTGCCACAGCCGCCATTTTGAAAAACTATTTCAAACTTAATGTCAACTTCTACTTGGCCCGTTGAACTGAAACTTAATAGGAATGATCGACTCATGGTCCTAACAAAGTGTTTTTTTTTTTTTTTTTGAATCAATCAGAAATCCAATATGGCCACCACGGCCGCCATTTTGAAAACCTATTTCAAACTTAGTCAAGTTCTGCTAGGCCAATTGAACTGAAACTTCGTAGTAATAATTGACTCATGGTCCTGACAAAGTGTTGTTATTTTTAGGGTCGATCAGAAATCCAACATGGCCGACACGGCCGCAATTTTGAAAAAAATAAGTTCAAACTTAAAGTCAAGTTCTGCTAGGCCGAATGAACTGAAACTTGGTAGGAATGATCGACTTATGGTCCTGATAAAGTGTTGTTATTTTTCGGGTGAATAAGAAATCCAATATGGCTGCCAAGGCCGCTATTTTGAAAATAATAAAGTTGGTTAATGAAATAAAGAAAAGACACCTTAAGCACCTCTGTAACTGGAAGGGTGGCTATCTGGTAGCGGAAGCGTGGTTGTACAGCTATATACAACATGCTCAATTTTGAGGTGGATTGGAAAAGGAAAATGGCTGCCTTGAAACAACTTGAAAATATTGGGTTTGGTCACAGGCACTTGCCTCGTCTGTTAATACACCTATAAAAGAGACGAGGCTAGTGCCTGTTAGTTTGGTGTAGTTCGGTTTAATAGGGTTTATCGTCTTATCAACAGCTAATTAGGTCATGGTATGGAAGGTATAGAGTTTGTTCGACGACCTTAACCGACTTTCAAGGTCATGGGGCCAAATGTATTGAAACCAATGACGACCTCTTCTGAATAATAAGAAATTATGTTATTGGCCCTGCAGCAGCATTCTAGTATGAAGGACTCGATTTTGTTGAAAAGAATTTACTTGACCCACTATCAAGGTCACACAGGTGAAAATTCAAATATGACAACAACAACTTTTGACAAAGGGTCATGATCTTTGGCCGGTTGCATGATGGAAGGTCAGACATTGTATTCAGTTCGGTTGACTGTCAATGTAATCGATGAAGAGGTTACAACATTGATTGAATGAATTTGATTTCGATCTACTTTGAAGTTCAGAGATGTGAAATGTGTGTTTATCAACTGCGTTAAGAACGTGTGAGCCGTACAGGCCCGTTGGGCCCCCTTTTCGTTTCCATAGATACTTGTAAGCAATCCTCGTGTACAACATATTATGAAAGGGAAATGGGCCATGAGGTGTATATTGAACCTAGGAATGTTTATGAAAGAAACTTATCTAGAATGATTACTTCGAGATGCTGCCAGCATCCAGTACGCGTTCCCCAGTGTACACGAGGGAAGGCCACGTTCTCAACTGGCATGCGGCTTCTAGTGCACAAAACGATCGTTACTCAGAGGACGACAGCCATAGCCTGATGTCAAACTATCAAACGTATCACCGCATACTACATCTCACAGAAGTTTGTAACATGTATTTTTCAGCTGTTGATTGAATGAATTCGTTAGTACTTCATCGCTCATGTGACGGAATATTTATAATTCTCAGTTAGACTTAAATTTTGCAGTGGGGGAAAGGGTTTCGGTCGGATAAGACAGGCTGTCGGTACATGTGTTTTCCCCAATAGCAACGTCATCATTATTTTAGAAGAGTCCCATACCGTAAATCCACTAAGCGATCATATTAGTACATCGCATGATAAAATCTTGGATGTTGATTGTATATATAGTGTACGCTCGTTTTATAATGTGTCTTGAACAGTTACGCCGCTTGGGATGTGACTCTCGGCGCCCGGTGTGTATATTTATAGAACACTGCTTTACTGAATCTATTATCAACTTCTGCTGAGGGCACAATGATCTCATAAGGTTTAAACTTTTTTACTGTCTTTTTTCATGTTCATGACTAGGTTGACGTCAGGCTCGCTCGAACAACTTGACTAAAGTCTTGTTGGCTGGTAATCCCTCTAATGAAGGGGATATTTCTGATTCAGTAGTACTAGTATATAGATTTGCCGGCATAACTTCAGCAAAAGGTAACCTCGAATGAACCACAGTACCGTATCAGTGGACAAGAGTACCGCAGAGGGGAACAATATATGCCCGTCCCATGCCATTCTAACATACTTAAAATCTGTCTGATGCATTGTTGTAAGTAAACGTTTGGGAATGTTAGAAGAAGATACATTATTTGTACTGTATTATTCATTGAAGTTAAAACTATTTCTGGAATGTGGTGTAATGAGAAAACTTGACCATTAAGATCCTGATGAAGGAATATACATTTGTATATTTTATATTATCCTCTGTGACCTTTGAAAATATTTTCATATGAATTGTCTCCCTTTGTATATATTTCAAACTATGAAACTAGAAATTGGAATTGCAAAGTTTGTCGACTCCATCAGTTGAAAGTACCAGTCACATATTATTATATGATTCCATGCTTTTTGGTTCTTCTTCAGAATTTGTTTGAAGTGTTTGACATATTTTTCCCTGTGACCTTATAAGTAGGTCAAGGTCATTTTCCTTCTCAAACTTTGTTGACTCTATCCCAAGAAGCTACCAGCCAAATCTTATGAATCCATTCCTTTTTGTTCTTCTGAACAAATCATTTAAGATGTTGGTTACCTCTGTGACCTTTAAAAGTAGATTATCATTTTCATTCTCAAACTTTGTCTGGCTCTATCCCATGAAGCAACAGTCAAATATTAAGATTCTATACCTTTCAGTTCTTCAGAAGAAGTATTTAAGCGTTTGACATATTTGAACACTGTGACCTTGAAAGTAGGTCAAGTTAATTTTCATTCATATACTTTGTTGGGCTCTATCCCAGGAAGCCACCAGCCAAATATTAAGATTCTATACCTTTCAGTTCTTAGGTAGAAATCGTTTTAGGCGTTAGACATATCTGACTCCTGTGACCTTGAAAGTAGGTCAAGGTCATTTATATTCGTAAACGTTATTGGGCTTCTTCCCAGGAAGCTACCAGTCAAATTTTAAGATTTTATACCTTTCAGTTCTTCAGAAGAAGTCGTTTGATGTTTTTGACACATTCCACCCCTGTGACCGTGAAAGTAGGTCAAGGTCAATTTCATTCTCAAACGTTGTTGGGCTCTTACTAACGAAGCTGTCAGCGAAATATCATGACTCTAGGCCTGTCCGTTCTTCAGAAGAAGTCGTTTAAAGAAAACGTTGACGGACGACGGACGCCGCACCATGGCATAAGCTCACTTGCCCTTCGGGCAGGTGAGCTAAAAACTAATGACTTGATGGCTATCATAATGAAACGTAGCACGTGAACATAATACAGATTTGTATGTACACGCTTAGCTCGAGCTTGACGTTGACCCTCATGAATATACAGAAAGTGGTGTACAATGATTTGAGAAAATCTTTTGAAACATAGAAATGAAATTGCAGGAAACAGAGATCATCTGTGCGGAAGGAGAATATCTTTGGTGTGGATGTTATGTGTTATTGCAAGACATGTAAACTTTATTTTTCTAACTGATATCAATCACTCTTGCTGACCACAGATGGAAGGACGCATGGAGTTAATGTGGGAGGAAACCGGAGTACCTGGAGAAAACCCATATGATCGGGCAGGTGACCCCAATACCTTTCCACATGCGATCGGGGAATCAAACCCTGGTCTTCTTGGTGAAAGGCGAGTGCCACTCGACCACCCCAACAAATTATCCATCTTTCCAATGACACCAAGCATTTTTAGCTCACCTGCCCGAATAGCTTATGCCATGGCACAGCGGACGTCGTTCGTCCGGCCTGCCGTCAGTTTTTCCTTTAAATCGCTACAAGTCCTGAACGACTCAGTGGATTTTAACTAAATTTGGTCTGCAGCCTCCTTGGGCCAAAGGCTCTCAACTTTGCATAAACGGTGGGTGTGGCCCCCTGGGGGCAGAGGAGTGGGACCAAATAGGGGATTGAGGAATTTTATCCTAATTAAGTCTGAAGCATCCTTAGGCCAAGGGGACTCAATTTTGTATAATTTGTGGGTGTAACCCTCCGAGGGGCAGAGGGTTGGGGCCGAATAGGGGAAATAGAGGGGAACCTTTAAATCCTTCTTTTACCACAGGGATTAAGGGATTTCATCCCAATTTGGTCTGAAACATCCTAAGGCAAAAAACACTCAATTTTGTATACATGGTGGGTGTGGCCTCCCTAAGTGCAGATGAGAGAGGCCCAATAGGGGAAACAGAGGTAAAACATTTATAATCCTTTTTCTAGTGTAGGGATAAAGGGGTTTTATCCTAATTTATATCCTGAAGCATTCTTGGGCAAGGGGGACTCAATTTTGTATAAACGGTGAACCGAACTATATGCAGAGCTATATAATGCACAGTTTCGGAGAATAAATAACAATGTATCAAGAATGATATGGCCTTCTATCACACGTCCACTACATCATATAACGTATCTTAAAATCTACATGTGGATGTACCTTGTTTTATAAGGAAATAACGCACACTAGAAATAGTTAGCATTTTAGTATCGGTCAGGTACGTCTGGACCCCTCAATCTACACGTGCCGAGTATTCCTGGGGTCAGCCTCGGTTCAGATCTGCGTCAGTCGTTTTCTTTTCAGGTTCAACTGTTTCAACATTTGAAGGTGCGCATGTGCGGCAGTACAGTCGTCTCTTCACTTGGTCGTCAATATTTCTATCAAGAAACAATCTCCATCAGCTATGGTTACTGCTAATTCCATTCTATTGCACTTTTAACTTACCCTAGAACACTGGTATACAGGTCATATACACCAAACCCCGTCCAATTATTCGTTCCATACATTGAAAATCCATCATAACAATGAATGAGCGTTTTCCAACATGGCGGCGCCCTTATTGGCAACCGGAAGTGATACATTTCGTCAAACTTTCTCCCAGTAAACAACAGTGGGATAAACATGTTGACAGTATTGATATTTGTTTTATTCCTCACTGTGCACAGAGCAGCTCAATCGAATTCCATAGCCATCTATTGAGATAAACCAAGGTCCCACTGAGCCCAATGTGGGGCATAATTCCTCACGTGCATATATATGTGGAACTTATAACGAGACAGTAGACTGGTCGGAGAAGGGTATCGTCTGTGAGACGTGTGACCAGTGGTACCCTGCCCAATGTCAGATTGTCCTCACCATCACCTACAACGATCTCGGTGAATCAAATACCAGCTGGCATTGTTTAATATGTAACAGCCCTAAAAACCAACACAACCTCCCATACTGATGATCTATCGGGTCTTGATGGCTCACTTAGCCCCGACAAGCCTGGTACCAGGCCATTACATTCCTCAACACCTATTCGCCGAGGGAAATGGAGTAAATCCTCTGCCCCTCTTCGAATCCTAAACATCAATTTCCAGTCCATCAAACAGAAGCAGCCCAGGCTGGCCAACGTCATTGACAGTACCAAACCAGACATCATTATTGGGACTGAGACCTGGCTGGATCCCAACATAAAATATAGAGAAATCTGTCCAGAGGGATACAACATCTACCGTAAAGACAGGGTCACAAGCGGATGTGGCGGAGTACTCATTGCGATCTGCGAAACCTTAAAGTGTGACACAGTAACGGAACTGGACATAGTAACATCTATATTTGTGCCTACTAGCGCAGATACGTCTCGGACAAGGAAAGCCTCGACCAATTCGAATTATCTGTCTCCAGAGCGTGTAACAACCAAAACACAACTATCATCATAGGAGGTGACCTTAACTTTCCAGGCTGGGACTGGTCTCATAATAGCTTAAAACCAGGTGCACCCAATGTACCCCTCCATCACCAATTCAAGGACGTGCTGGATTCAAACCACTTAATCCACTTAGTGCATGAGAATACCAGGAAGGATAGCAACCTAGACCTCATCATTACTAATGCACCAAGCATTGTCCAACGTGTTGACGTCCTACCAGGAATATCCGATCACGATATAGTCTTTGGTGAGTTTGACGTTCGCCCAGTTCGACTAGATCAACAGCGACGTTAAATACCACTCTACAGCAAAGCAAACTGGCGTGGCTTTATTGAAGACCTCAACTCGATTCTTCAGGTATTCGAGGACATGTCCAAAGACGCCAGTGTCACAGCTAACGACATGTGGATCGTATTCAAGAACGCCATAATGAAAGGTATCTCTGACCACATCCTCCAAACAGACCAAAACTACAACCGCCTTCCTTGGTGAGCTCGGACCTGAGGAAAAAAATCAGTAAACAGGGCCGTCTTTACAAAAGGATGAAGAAAACTCGAGATCCTCTACCATCCAACAATACCGCGATCTGAAGCGTACCATCCAGAAAGATCAAAGACGGGCTTACTGGAAGTACTTTGAGGAAATTGCCACCCCAAACGACAATGACACTTATTCAAAAGGATTTAAGAAATTCTGGACCTTTATCAAATAAAAGCGGAAGGACAAGTTTGGAATCTCCTCACTTAAACACGAGGGCAAACTATTCTCCGACGCCACAGATAAGGCCAATATTCTTAACTCTCAATTCCAGACAGCCTTCTCCGAGAAAACTACCTTCACCCGCGAGGAGTTTATATCATCTGGAAGAATGAACCCTTCCCCGGACAACCCAATCGTTGACGATATCAACTTCACCACGAACAGGATTTGTAAACTTCTTCGAAATCTCGACGCACATAAGGCACCCGGCCCAGATAACATCTCACCAAGGGTCTTAAAGGAGACACACGCGGCCACAGCTCCATTACTTAATCTTCTCCTCACGAAGTCACTTGCAACGGGTGTGGTTCCGGATGACTGGCGCACTGCCAACGTATCGCCTGTTTTCAAGAAAGGACAGAAGTACGTCGCAGCGAACTACAGGCCGATATTCCTCACATCTGTTTGCTGTAAAGTAATGGAGCACATCATCACCTCTACCATCATGTCCCACGGTGAGAAAAACAACATTATCTATGACCTACAGCATGGTTTCAGGAAAGGCAGATCATGTGAGACCCAACTCATCGAGTTCGTGGACGACCTTACCAACAACCTCCAGGCAGGCCAACAGACGGATGTCCTTATCATGGATTTCGCCAAGGCCTTCGACAAGATTAATCACAGCCTACTCCACCATAAGCTCCATGAGTACGGCATCCAATGCAGAATCAACACATGGATCCAGAACTGGCTCTTAGGGCGTTCACAGTCGGTCGTTATAGACGGAGAGAGGTCTACATCTGTGAGCGTCGACTCCGGTGTCCCGCAAGGATCAGTCCTCGGACCAAACCTCTTCCTATTCTTTATCAACGACTTGCACGACAATCTAACGTCTACTGTCCGGTTGTTTGCCGACTACACTATTGGCTTCCTCACTATTACCTCAGAAAACAGCTGTAAGACCCTACAGGACAATCTAGACAAGCTGGGATATTGGGAGGATCAGTTCCACCCGGACAAGTGCAATATCTTGAGAGTCACCAACAAGAGAAATCCATTCAAGACCGATTACCACTTACACGGCAACTCCTTGCAAGACGTCAAGTCAGCTGTATACCTCGGCGTCACCATCTCAAACACCATGAAGTGGGACACACACATCCAGAAGATTTTTAGCAAGGCAAACAGGACGCTGGGCTTCCTGCGTAGTAACCTGCAGATTTCTTCCACCAATATAAAATCCATGGCATACTTCGTGCTAGTAAGACCCCTGCTGGAGTATGCCTGCACTGTTTGGGACCCCCACACCAAGGGGAACATCAATCAAATCGAGCAAATACAGAAAAACCTCCAGCGTCTCCAGCATGCTCGACGTATTTGGATGGAGATCACTCTAGAAAAGACCACATGACGCTGGACTGGCTATGTTGTACAGGATCGACCGAGGCCTAGTTGCGATAAGTAAAGGCGGAAGACTGCTACCACCTCGCAGACTCGGTAGAACTGTCCATGCCAGATCCTACCAGCTCCACACAAACAGGATCGACGCAAGGAAGATGCCCTTCTTCCTCAGGACGGCGAGAGACTGGAACGACCTCCCGCAAGACATCACCCTCGCCGACACACTGGACGCCTTCAAGACCAGTGTATCAAAACTCTGAGGTCCTTTGTTTTTATCATGTTTTTATCAACTTTTAACCTTTTGACGTAAGTCCTGTACCATGCACACCACCTACGTACATAGCAGAATCTTCAACCTGTTGAAGGAGGCTATTACCAGGCAGAAGCAGAAACCGGATACGCGAAAGGTAATGATTCAAAGAATGTGCCTGAACTAAATGATAAAGGAAAACATCTTAAAAAAAACGTTTTACTTCCGTAAATGTGTTTATATAACAAAACGGAGTGGGAATGTACATGGGACAAATGGGGAGTGATGGGGAAAACTGGCGACCCCCTTCATCACAGTCATGTTCATGGCGAGTGACAGTCTTTGACCAATTTATGCAAAAATAAAAGCCTACAAAATTCTACAATGTGCATAACGTAAAATTACTATTATTAATGCTTTTAGCTATACTTCAGTACCACACAATGTGCCGTGGACGAGGCCAAGCCCCGTTGGACTGGCACTTTCCTTTTGTTTCGATACAGCACAGGCTTTTGATTGGTTCTAGGCCAGTAAAAGACACCGCGTGTAGCCGTCGTCATCCTCGGAATATGAATCGCCTCGCTCTCGATTTACATCCTTCCGTGTTGAGAAGATAATTATGTATGAGGTGTTCAGAGTAATTTTACGTTTTAGGGGTTAATATCAAGTGTAAATCATCCTTGAGAGTGGCATATTTTTACCGAAAGTTTATCTAAACACCTAAAACGTGTACTATATATACCATCAATTGGGGTGCCATTTTACCGATAGTTGATCTAAACCCATAAAACATGTAATATACCGAAAGTTTATCTTAGCCCTTAGAACATGTAATATGCCATCAATAACTTGATTATTGCGTTTGCATTTTTACCGAAAGTTGATCTAAACCCATAAAACGTGCAAATTACACAGAACACCTCAGTTTAGGTCCAAATACAGCTGTAACAAGTCCCTGTAATTCTCATGACACGGATGCTTGATGTTCGCGGTTCTTGATCAACCCTAACTAACTTCTTCTCACGTGCGAGGTTGTTAACTAGAGCAGATGATCATGTTTGGTACCAAATGGTCAAAGAGATGTCATGTTTTTGACTTCAAGGTAAAGGGTACTACCTAGTTAAACTATAGTATTACCATTGTCTTTTTATGAAATATCTGTTCAAGCCAAAAGAAGTATTCCATAAAAAACACATTTTGCGATGCATTCTAAAGAATTACAGTTGTTCGAAATTTAAATGGTTTGAAATTAATGACAAATAGAGGAAAAAACCCGAAAAAAACCCTTATGGAACAAAGTCCAGATCTTCATACACTTTTTCAATGTTATCAACTCCAATTGGCTGCTACTCCAAGTCAAAAATCAAATAAAACCTCTGAGTGGAACTCTTTTTTGCGATTATAACTGATGCAATGGTACCCTTTACCTTAAGTACGTTTTATTTTTCGGTCCTCATTCCAAGTCAATATCAGGTCGTCCTATCTGTTGCAGGAATGTTTCGCAATTTGCAGTAAACAACATCCTATTTTCGTATCGAAAGGCACTGTTCCCTCCAGGAAACGCAAATGCGTCTGGGAGAATATAGCACTTCTGAAGCGAGTCTATGAGTGAACAGATTTGGAGCAGAGATTCCATATCTTCCATGACTGGAGGGGTGAAACTCTGCAACCCTAACAATTTCAAATTTTTCAAATCTATACACTTCTGTGCAATTGTCTCTAGCTGGGAGTTTGACAAACTACAATAGGACACGGAGAAACATCCAATGGTTGGTACCGCCTGTAGGATGTCGCCAACGGCAAGGTGGGACGTCTTTAAGTTGTTCCTGCTCAGATTCAGCTCTTTTAGTCCGGTAACATTATTCCACAGCCGTATATTTACTATATCATCATCACAGAGACGACAGTCACGAAGATTCAGGTACGTGATGTCCTGAGTCAGTTCTGATAGAATTGTGTCCAGTTGTTCCCGAAGGTTGCATGACGCTAAGTTCAGTTTGCGCAACATTGGAAGTTTACCAATACCGGAGGCGAAGTATTTCACTGCGTTCTCGTGTCCATCTGAGTGGATTGTGTTTGGGAAGCTGAGGGCCTGGAGGTGGGGAAGAAGATGTAAACCTTCCATGAGAGCTCCCAGCTTATCCATATCATGACAGATGTGTGGGTCAGAGTACTCCACCTGAGTCAGGTCCTGTAACACAAATAGGAAACGGTCAAGCGTATTCGGAACACCTTAGCCACGGAATGAGGTATTCCAATGGAATAACAGTAAAATTAATCTTTCTCTACCCTATTATTTCAATATAATGAATTAACACTGTCTAACTGCAGTTTTCCGTTATTAAAATCCTACCTCCTTCTCTGTAGCTATGTATGTTTACAGGTTATTTCTAGGAAACCAAAAGGTAGTGCTCGTCTATCAGACTGGAATATTCTCTTTTTTTTCAAAACATGCCGTATTCATTTCATGACAAAAATAACCAAATAATTGTAACTAACATAGACACATTGTGCACATCTGATATTCGTACAATAGCTGCCGAACAGCCATCTCCAGAATTGGTTTTATGATTAATCTCTACCTCACGACCTTTTTTGTTAGTCCTCCTTATTCCGGTTTTTGATGAACACATCGCTACTCAACTCTCCACTCACATATCTTGATTATAATCGTGATATTTTTTGTCGTAAACGCATTTCAGTTTATACATTATTGCCAACTTGAAGAATTCCTTGCACATGTTAAGCATGTTACAGAGTCGTGACTGAGCGAGACTTGATGAGCTAGGGTGGTTGATACTATTTACTAGTTTAGTTTAAACTGCCTTGAAGATCTGGAGTGTCGTTTTTGAGATATTTTTGCAGATTTGGACTGGGAAAAATTAACGCCTGACATGTGATCATACTTTCCTTATTTATTGTTATCACAGTGGCTATATCTGCAGTACAATGACATGACTAAAACATTCCCTTGCTTGTAATTTATCGACTCCATAAACCGGAAGTGCCTATATAGCTAGGACTAACAGAAAACGGAAGGTCATGTGACTGGATTTACTGAAATGTGAGAAATAGTCCGCTTTGGTAACAAATCGAAAGACAGCATTAAAAAGATAATGTCATCCTTGTATGGTTCATACAAGGAAGATTATAATTTACTTTCATATTTGGAACTCTTTCTTCAAAGAAGATCAATTTGTCATGACAACGTAGCGTGCACTAAGTGTAGTAGTTAACATGGACTTGATGAACATACTTACCCTGAGCTCCAGAACCTGGTTGATTCCAGTCATTGGCAGCGATATTTCAGGAATGGGTTCCATCCACACCCTCTTGCAGCCGAACCGGAAGGGTGTCTCATACTGGAGGCCCAGACCAATAGGGACATCATCCAGCGTTATCTTACAGTCCAGTATAATCGTTACCGGCTCTACAACAGATGAAAAACATTGCCATTTACATCCTTTAACAACATTTTTTGTCTAAAGTGAGAGAACACGAATAACGGAACACGAAGAGACTGTTACGGTGTGCTGTTTTAAGCGGAACATTTTGATTGAGCTGTACGAACAAGTCGATCTGCTGAAAGAAATCTATCGGAACAGACCGGGAACTGTCTTATTTGAGTGATTCATTTCCAAACGCACTGCAACTTTTGGCAACATTGAGGGAACCAAGTACGATTCAATATGGCGACCAGTTAAAAGGTTTTTTGTTTCAATAGAGATACATATCGTGTAAAACTTATAAAGAAAGGAGACAATCCATTTTGTTTCGCACATGCTACCTACAAAACCACTAAGGATGAAACGATCGGGGAAATACAAGGCCAGGCCGGGATTCTTACCCGGGACCCTCTAAACTCCAGACGGCTACCAATTGAGCTACCTGGTCGCTGGCAAACGATCCAGTCCAGTTCCGCTACATTCCTCCCTCCTTTAACAAAGACTTTGACCCCGAAGACACACGACACCCTTTACCACCTTCCGTGGGTATATTTATTTGGCGCCAAATGTAACAAGAGATGAGAAGTGCACGGCCAGACCGGGATTGGAATCCAGGACCCTTCGAACTCCAGACGGGGCCTCTACCAATTGAGCTACCTGGTCGCCGGCGAACGACAAAATCCAGTTCCGCTACAAGGCTACATTTTTCTGTTAGATTTTGCACAGGTGAAACGTCATTGTACGCGTTGTACCCTTTGGGCAGACTAGTTTAAAGTAAGCAGAACTGGAATGCTTTGGTAAATTGAATGCACTAAGTGTCTCATTTTAATTCACACAACCCGGTATTCCGTTACTTACCGTCTGTGTACAGGGCGGCCACAGTTGACTTGGTTTCGTTGGCAAACAAATGTAAATTTATTGAAATCCCGAGGTCATTTGCGATTCTGTAGTGGACCTCGAGATTCCGTAACTTTATTTAGCCCATAAAACCCTGTCGAGTAGCTCAGCCGATTGCGTTTTTAGGGCTGCCGCAAATGAATTGAAATTTATTTAGTCCACAATGTCTTAAACTAGATTGTGTTTTAGGACAGTGTATCTATATAACTATAACTATCCATTGACCTTTTCCGTGAAAAACAAATCTGTCATAAAAAGCTTAGTTATACATGTGTAAATCACAGATAAAAACAAACACGTGTCTGATCCGACATTGTTACAGCAATGCATGTTGTATTTATAGACAAAACATTAATGTAATAACGCACGTGCAACATGAAACATAGATGCACGTGCCTCTGACCTACAATGGTAGATAGATATCAACAAGACTTAAACTAGCGTGTACGTCGACGAGGCTGATTCACAGCCGATATGTACTAATGTATTAATTACTTTTACTACACAAAGCCGTCTGTTTTTTCGTTTTTGGCACAAATTGTTCTGGCAGATCTCTGTTGGAGATTACAATGCTTCCAATGCCAAACTTACAATCTAAATCATGATTGGAAGTTTGAACCTTACCTACCCATTCCTCAATTATAATTCTGTAAACATTTTTTATTTTGTTTTCACGCTGGCATTGTACAGAAGTTACAAATGTTGCAGACATGAAAAATGAAGTCTTTTGGATAAGTGCTCTTGCAACCAGGAAGGCAGTTCTGAAGTACGTTAAACACCGGGATAAAATGATGACTAAGCAGTTTGAATGAAATAATACCCGTTTTCTCCATGCCAAAGATGTAACGATTGTGGTCGGCTTACGTGGCACACGATGAGCAGTCTCGCCTGAGATAATGATAAGGGGGGTATACAGTGGTTTAGAACCCCCACCCCTATCCCCGGGATATACATTGGTTTAGAATGCTCCCCAGGGATATACAGTGGTTTAGAATGCTCCCCAGGGTAATACAGTTGTTAAGAATGTTCCCCCGGGATATACAGTTGTTTAGAATGCTCCCCAGGGATATACAGTGGTTTAGAACGCTTCCCCCTCCCCGGCCGCTATGTCCTGTGATAACATTACAAGCCCCTGTGCTATTTAGAAAAGCTCATATTCGGGACGACAAACAAAATGATACAGGACATTTCCGTTTCTCCAATGGATCACCGGAAGTGCTCACCGGAAGTGATGTACTTACCGAACTGGTTACCATGTTTTATGTACGGGTCCATGTTTGCGTAGATGAGGTTAAATCTGTTTAGGTACTTTTGCACCTTTTCTCTGCTTATATCTGAAATTAGAATCCGGGACAAGACAAAATATATATTACAAGCTATTCTGTGACAATATATTCTTTTAATTTTCAATTCGGTAAAACTTTTAAATTACAGATTCCTAGACAAAAGTTTTCAATTCCAAAACCATTTTGTATTACAGAATATGAAACCTTAATTGAAATGACAGTTTTCGAACAATCGCGTTACTCCTAACTCCCACAATTCTAAACACACACTCTGCTAGTTACATGTATATACATGCTATCGTGTTTCTCGACTAATTCGATAAAACGGTATATAGTTGTTACTTAAAACCTGCAATTTACAATGTACTAATTAGCATCAGGATTCAATCTCTCCTAGCGATATTTTGCTGTGTACCATGGACACCATGGGAGAGATTATCGAGTAACGCCCTATGACCTTTGACATGACAGGAATACTAACCGATAGTCCTGACCAGTATATCGTGGATCCGGTCAACTGTCCGGTCGTCCGGATTCATCCACAGTAGCGGAAGTCGGGAGAGCTCTCGGGACAACTTCCGGTCTGAAAAATAGTATCATTAGATTGTACCCGTCAAGATTGGGGCTTCTGATGTTTTGCATTAAGAGTTTTTGGTTTATTTTCATATAGTCGACGCTATTCATATTTAAACTATGATCATATATTATTGAAAGATATTATTTCCGTTTAATCTAGCAGCGTAAAACATTTTTTTATTTTTATTCTTGTTGACTTTTGTTGTTACAGTTTTGAGACAAACTATATTCATTCAAAAGTTACCAAACAAACCAATCACACAGTAACTGACCAGTGAATCCTGAGAAGTTGATCATTTTGAGGTTTGACTGTGGCCGGAGGGCGAGTAGAGCATAGACGACACAGTCGAGGATGGTCAGTCCGTCCTTCTCCTCTACCGGTGTGGTCAGTATTTCATCATCACTCAGGTCTTCGACGGGCATGGCTGACTGCAGGTCAAGAACGGTTGTGGGCCACGTGCTCACGAGGAAGTTGATAGTATGCAGTTCCCTCTGAAAGATAGCCTCCGACAGCAGTGCGGGATAAATGCCTCCTGGCATAGCCCGCGCCTTCATGTGCCCAAACACACGCCCAGGGTCACACACAAGCTTGTTCATACATAAGTTTGCTAAGTGCCTACAAACGAAAAACATGCATTGATCTTGATTACCAAGCCAATAGATTAATTTAAACCTTAGTTTCTCCTGAGCATGCTAGCAATGTGAAACCTTTTAACATAGACTTATCGGTATGGAATAGTTTATTATTGTACATCATCTACGTAACAACGTGTCTGATTATACTGATCACATGACAGAGAAATAAATACATCGAGCCCCCTCACGCGCTCGAGTTTCCCGATTACATTTCCCTTATTTGGAATTAACCACTGACTGACAACAATAACGTGTAATGCTTTTGTTTTAGTTTAGTATTACGAAATATTTTTGGCCTTGTGATAGGGGGAAATGGTTCCTTGTTTCACATGATTTGTCTCCGGGAAAGAAAGGAATTATGTTTCCCTACAGGAAGGGTAATACAAGCGTAATTTGTACCTATTCGCTGTTCTCCTGAATAACTGGGTGCATACATGTATGTGTGACATCGACCTTCATCAATCTCACGTCGAACATGGGAACAGTCGATCACGATCACGTGGTGTCATTGACCTACCTTGGAGAACACACTGGTTCCCCGGAAGTGTCCTTGTGACAGCTGAGTACCCCTTCAGCGTCCCTGTAGAGGTGGTAGATAAAGTGGGCCTCGGTCATCCATAGTGGGTGTCGGGACTGGCTCTCGTTCACGTTGAACCGAATGGTCTCGTAGTCAATATCGTCCATAGCGTCCGTCAACGACATTGTGACGTCACTCTGTAATATAAAAATGATGTCGTAATTTACGTTTTATTCAGTCCATCAAGTATGTGATTGACCGCGTGGTCTGATTTGCAACCTCCTCTTCAATAGGAGAACTAGTAAACTGTTGAGAGTTGCTGGAAATGAGACCATGTCTGTTTGAATTTGCCCAATGTGAATGTTCCTTGTGTGGTCTTACGTGGTTGTCTTATGTGGTCTAGTGTGGTGTGACTCCTCCTGTGATTTACAATGTAACGTGTTCAGTGTTTTAGTCTGTCACGCGTGACTGTTCCAGTGTTTTAGTCTGTCATGCGTGACTGTTCCAGTATTTTAGTCTGTCACGCGTGCCATTCTTTTCCTGTGATAAAGTCTGTCACGCGTGACTGTTCCTGTGATAAAGTCTGTCACGCGTGACTGTTCCTGTGATATAGTCTGTCACGCGTGACTGTTCCTGTGTTTTAGACTGTTACTCGTTACTGTTCCGGTATTTAGTTTATCGAGTGAGAATACTCCTGTGTGTTATAACGTCACGTGAAACGTATTACTCGGGTGTGACTATTCTGTATTAATAAACGTGTATGTAATATTTGAGTGTTCTTATGTTTGTTACGTACGACTGTTCCTGTTTATGAGTAGGTCACGTGTACCCGTGTACCCCTGATACGGCAGACAATCCATTTTATGATGATTGCTGCCAAGATATATCTTAAAGTTGAATCGGTGCTACAGCACAGCTCTGCCAACGATACCTTAAAGTATCAGCTGCGAAATCAATTAAATAAACTGAAGTAAACCAAGCTTCAAAACCAGACTAGACTTCCTAAATTACCGTTAATAAGACCGATTCAACTGTTAGCTGGCTTCACGTGACCCAGGTATGTTCGTGCTAATTGCGCGCGAAAACGTTTATGTTTATCGCCGCATCAAGTTAAATCTGTTTACGACACTTAAGTGGCAATGTAAATATGCATTAGAACTTGATGATGTTCTTCCATCAGACAGAAGTATTTCAAAGACGAATCGGTGCTGTATAAAACTGTTACTATAGCTATTGAATCGCCTTAAAAACTCCGGCCTGTGTTACAGTATATATAAACACATTTTGTGTTGTTGAAAGTCTAAATGCTCCAAGTGGCATACGAACAAGATAGAAATTGGGTATTGTGCCGACTCATCCTCCCGTGCTCCCCTGGGCCGACTTCTTTCGTCCCCCTGGCAGACTCCTCCCAGATAGGGATCAAACTAACGCCGTGAAATCTACAACTGTAGAGGGACACCTGCTACGGTACGTCATTATTAGCGTTTTGCTGATGATGTTACAGGATCTAAAGCAAATTAAGCATTATTACATTTGACATTATGTAATCGCTCTCGGCTTTAAATCACATGTGGAGAATGGTTGGCACGCTATATACAAATGCACTACATTTTATACCCTTAAACAGCAGTCATGATATCGGTAAAAACGCCATGATTGTAGACTCACAGCATTATACCTGCCGACACTAATCCGGTCGTTACATTATCCAACACACACTAATCCGCTTGTTTTATTTATCTAGCCACCACTAAACCAGTTTCCCATTTTCCAGCTACCACTAATTCGGTCGTTCCATTAACAAGCCACCACTAATCCAGTTGTCCCACTTTCCAGCTACCACTAATTCGGTCGTTCCATTAACAAGCCACCACTAATCCAGTTGTCCCACTTTCCAGCTACCACTAATTCGGTCGTTCCATTAACAAGCCACCACTAATCCAGTTGTCCCACTTTCCAGCTACCACTAATTCGGTCGTTCCATTAACAAGCCACCACTAATCCAGTTGTCCCACTTTCCAGCTACCACTAATTCGGTCGTTCCATTAACAAGCCACCACTAATCCAGTTGTCCCACTTTCCAGCTACCACTAATTCGGTCGTTCCATTAACAAGCCACCACTAATCAAGTTGTCCTACTATCACTAAATCGGCTGTTCAACTACTCAGCCACCACAAATCGGATTGTCCCACTAGTCAGCCACCACTAGTCAGGTTGTTTCATAATCCAGTCACCGTTAATTTAGTTGCGCAATTATCAAGACACACGTTATCTGATTGCTTCACTATCCATCCACCAGTTATCCGGATGGTCCATTATACAGACACAATTAATGCAATAAGCCAACTATTATTGCACCACTAATCCGGTTGTTTCACTATCCCGCCACCACTAATCCGGTTGTTTCACTACCCCGCCCCCACTAACCCGGTTTTTCCACTACCCCGCCCCCACTAACCCGGTTTTTCCACTACCCCCCCCCCACTAATCCGGTTGTTCCACTATCCCGCCACCACTAAAGCGGTTGTTTCACTATACCGCCACCACTTATCCGGTTGTTTCACTACCCCGCCCCCACTAAACCGGTTGTTTCACGATCCCGCCACCTCTAAACAGGTTGTTTCACTATCCCGACACCTCTAAACCGGTTGGTCAACAATCCAGCCACCACTTATCTAATTGCTACATTATCCAGCTACTACTAATCCGGTTGTTTCCCTATCCCGCCACCACTAACCCGGTTTTTCCACTACCCCGCCCCCACTAACCCGGTTTTTCCACTACCCCGCCACCACTAATCCGGTTGTTTTACTATCCCGCCACCTCTAAACTGGTTGTTTTACTTTCCCGCCACCTCTAAACCGGTGGTTTCACTATCCCGCCACGACTAATCCGGTTGTTTCACTACCCCGCCCCCACTAAACCGGTTGTTTCACGATCCCGCCACCTCTAAACTGGTTGTTTTACTTTCCCGCCACCTCTAAACTGGTTGGTTGACTTTCCCGCCACCTCTAAACAGGTTGTTTCACTATCCCGACACCTCTAAACCGGGTGTTTCACTATCCCACCACTATCCAGTTGCTTAATTATTCAGCAAAAACTCATTCAGTTGTCCAATAATTCAGTAACCACCAATCTGGTTGTTCTCAACGGTCACTTATCCGGGTTTTTTCATTTTTCAGGTACCACAAATCCAGTTGTTACATTATCCAGCCACTACTAATCCAGTTATTCCACCATTCAGCTTCCTTTAATCCGTTTTGTTCAATTATCCACCCACCACTAATCCGGTTGTTTAACAACCCACCCACCACTAATCCGGTTTAATGAAAGGACTTTAATAGTCTTTGCCTAATCCAATTGTACCTTTGATGCAATACATTGATTTGAAACTAATCAGGTTGTTTAATAATCCAGTCACCACTTATTCAGTTGTCCAATTATCTCGACACAAGTAATCGGGTTGCTCCACTATCCAGCCACCACTAAATCGGTCGTTCGAAAATGCAGTCACCTAGCACTGAACCGCTTGTTCCATTATCCAGCCACCACTTATTCGGTGGTTCCATTATACAGTCACTACAAATCCAGTTGTTTCTTCATTCAGCCACCACTAATGCAATTTCCCCATTATCCAGCCACCACCCGTTGTTCAAATTTCCAGCCACCACTTATCCAGGGTTCACCTAAGCGGTCACTAATCCGGTTGTCCCACTATCGAGCCACCACACTTATGCAATTGTCACACTAACCAGTCACCATTAGTCCAGTTGTTTCTTTATCCAGCAACCACTAATGCAATTGTCACACTACCCAGCCACCATTAGTCCAGTTGTTTCTTTATCCAGCAACCACTAATGCAATTGTCACACTACCCAGCCACCATTAGTCCAGTTGTTTCTTTATCCAGCAACCACTAATGCAATTGTCACACTACCCAGCCACCATTAGTCCAGTTGTTTCTTTATCCAGCAACCACTAATGCAATTGTCACACTACCCAGCCACCATTAGTCCAGTTGTTTCTTTATCCAGCAACCACTAATGCAATTGTCACACTACCCAGCCACCATTAGTCCAGTTGTTTCTTTATCCAGCAACCACTAATGCAATTGTCACACTACCCAGCCACCATTAGTCCAGTTGTTTCTTTATCCAGCAACCACTAATGCAATTGTCACACTACCCAGCCACCATTAGTCCAGTTGTTTCTTTATCCAGCAACCACTAATGCAATTGTCACACTACCCAGCCACCATTAGTCCAGTTGTTTCTTTATCCAGCAACCACTAATGCAATTGTCACACTACCCAG